TTGTAACACCCTAATCCGTCCAGGTCTGCAGCCCCTTTCGGACTAAAGTATTGATTTGGTAATCGTGATAATTTAAAACATTTCAAACATTTTTATTTATAAATAATATTCCATACATAATTGTAGAGAAATACGGAGTGTTTAAATAAAATGCGGAAGCGACTTTAAAATATGTCTCATAACAACATAATTATTTATTTCATTCAATAATCTAACACGACTGTCTCGCCCCCTTCTGCTGCCAGGAATCAGCCAATCATTCATGCTGCCTACTTGTGTGTAGCAAATAAAACACACTACACGGCTCAGCGGTGAAGCTGAGTAAGCATATCTAAAGTGTCGAACATCCACATAAATTGAATCTCAATTCATAATCAACCATTTGATATCATGCACACAATATATAATTCAAACATTCATGATATTCTCAATATTTTATTCCAAGTCATTTGATATTCAATATCTCAACAATGCTCTCAAATTATTCTTAATCTAAGGCCAAATCATTTTATAACAATTCTTAACTATTCCTAGTCTAAGACAACATTTCTAACCAGGCCCTTAAACTATAAATAGTTTAATGCAGAACACAAGAATCGATAATCCACCCTATGAGTCATGTGGATTACGTACCAACCGAATAGTGAACTGCCGGGTGGGTGATATCCGTTCTGGATCCCGTACGTACGTTTTAACCCCGAAATATGAATTGGTCAAGGAGGTATATCTTAGAGTTCTTCTAGATATCCTTAATAATCATCATCATTATACAAGTGGGTATATCTTAGAGTTCTTCTAGATATCCTTAACAATATACATCATTTTCATAATCACCATTATATCCATTTTAATCATGATTTAATCAATAATAATACTAATCAGTAGGTTAATCATTCATAATTGGCCACAATAATAGTTCATCATAATGATCATTCAACATAACATTTAATAACAATTAGCGGCCTAGTCTCGAGTGTTAACACCCGAACTTACCGTCATGCATCACATAATGTTTTAATTTGTTAAAAACATCATTTTTGTTGTGAAAAATCATTTTTATAATAATTATAACCAATTGGTATCAAAAATAGGATTTTAGAGCTCAAAAATAGCAATTTCAAACAAATTTTCGGACCAGAGTTTCGGAGGATTGATCCAGCCCTCTGGATCGATCCAATGAAGGGGATCGATCCACTCTGTGGATTTGCAGCCACTGTTCATTCATCTTCAACCTCGGTCCATTTTTCAGTAAAACCATTTTTAATCACCGAACTTCAATTAAACTATATAGAGATGTTCTCCAAGGTTCATAGATCATATTAGAATTATTAAAACACATTTTTAACATTAAATTCAAAGTTTATGATTCTTGGTTCTTCAAACATGTCAAACACAAAACTCAACCAAATGACCATTTATGAACGTAGAAACGACCTATATGAACATTCTAGTCATTAGATATATCTAGGGGCTTACTTTGAAGCGTAACGGAGGTTTTGAATATTTTCCGGCGAACCTTCCGGCGACTTTATCTCACTGCTCTGGCAACCTCCCACAAAGATGACAGCACCA